CTGAGAGACGTGAGGCTAGCGCGCAGCCAACCGTCGACTCGCACGCGAACTGCAGCCGCCATCACCGAAGGCACAAACTCCCCAGGCCAGCGTGTGCGGCCAAGCCTCGACCTTACAGTTGATCTCCGAGTAGGTGGGTACGCACGCGTCCCAGCGCCCCGCTTATGCAGCGCCAGCGAGCATGCTGCCTCTTGGGTAACAGTACACTAACCCCGAACCTTCGATTCATTTCGTTGATCGACCAGTTTTTGCTGAGCTATTTATGTTACCCCGAACCTTGAACCGAGAGCTCCAAGTTCATCTAAAATGTGTATAAACCCTTAATCGATGATTTCTGATTAAGGAGTGTAGTTGATGAGTCCCTATGCTTTACTTGAGAGTTTCTTGAGTCGGCAAATTGGGATTATCGTGTTGCTTTGGGTCAAGCCTTATGTTTGTGCATAAGGGTTGCGTTCGACTCGTGGAGTCGATATCATGAGAGTATGAGCACCTTGGGTCGTATGTATTATGAGCTTGATGGTGTCGTGTTGTATGTATGTGGTACCGTATCGTAGTCTCTGATGGAGACGCACAGTCCGTGTTGAAATCGTCAGCAAGTTGTCAGTGTGACTCGGACTCGAGACTGAAACTTGGCGTCACATGTCCACCTTGATGGTGAGGTCGTCGGAGTACGCTGACAATACACTAAATGACCTGTTGAGGTCTTATGTGTTGTTAGGTGCTAGGCAAGTCATTGATACTCATGAGTATAGGCCAAGTCGAACTGGGTCCCTTGCAAAAGGATATACGCCTGAGCTTGGGTAGGACTGATCACCCTCCCAGGCAAGAAGGTAAACATATGAGCATAGGGCGAGTCGGATTGATTCTTGTATGTGAGTACATGCCTTTTAGGAATGGGACGATAGGACTCATGGGAGCGGAATCGAGTTCCAAAGGGTGATGCCCGGACCTCGTGATTAGAATTCCTGATCGAGTCTATCGTTTTCTTTTAGATGCGTGTTTCTTTTGCATTTCCAAGGACATAAATATTGTATGCAGGATAGATTGTAGCGCCCCGTTCGATTTATAGAATTTCTCGGAATATTATATTTATCGAATATCAATTATATGGTTATATTTATTTTATTAGTCGCGATGTTGACTTAAATATAAGGTTGAAATACTCGATCGTTTTATTGAAAAACGTTCGTCGTTCGGCGATTTCGGTTTAAGCGCGTGAGACGGATCTAGCCCGTTTATTTGTGGATTTTTGGGATTATTATTATTATTAGTATTAATTGCGAATATTGGGATTATTATTGTTATTACCTGATTATCATTATTGTATCTATTATTATTATTATTATTAATGAATGTCAAAATATTACTATTTGTCTAATTGTATCAAAATTGCCTAAATGTGTATTCTTATCTTTATTGTTATTATTATTATTCTGAAAATATATATGTGCAATTTATTTATTTCTCGGTTTTTATTTGTTATCCTGCGATTAATCGAGCCCGACTATACCCGCGTGAACTGAACCGACCCGCGAGCTTAACCCGCCCAAGACCCGCTTTTCCCCCATTGTGCATGTGTGTGTGTGTTATCTTATGTAGCAAGATTAGTTAACCTAATCTATTTGCTAGTCTTGTTAATATCGCTCAAAACCATAAGCAGAGATATAGCCGCAGCATTTCTCCTCGTTCACGCAAGAACAGAGAAATCATCTCCTCTCTCAAATCGGTTCCCTCATCTCTTAGATCAAACCTCGCCTTCATCATCAGAACTAATCCCGTCATCACCATCGGCCTCATCTCCATCCCCCTTGAACTGATCGCAGCCATCAATCCCTCCCGTCACCATCACTGTGCCGGCAACATGCCAACATCTCCCGCCGGTGAGTTTTCTCTGATTGCGAAGCCCTGCTCCGCCGCGACGACGCACAGCAGGCCCGCGATTCTGGCGACCTCCAGCAACCCAACGTGGACCTCTGTTCGCGAAATTTCGACGACCTGCTCTTCTTCCACGCCGCGAACAGAAGCCCCCCCGCACCGCGACGACACCGCAGAAGCCCCGCCACGCCGCGATGCCACCACAGAAGCCTCGCCACGCTGTGAGCATCCATCTCTGTCTGCAAGTTCCGACGACTCCCTCCTCTGCGAACGTTGAACACGCGACCAGTAGGCCCCCGACGACTCATCTTCAGCCATATCTCCTCCGGAAAGCCTTCCTTCGCCGTCTGCTTCTCCTCCGTGTCAAGCACCGAGCGCTGCAGCAACCGAGCAGCCGAGAACAGCCGCCGCTGCTGCTCCTTTCTCGGCGAGACGCGTGAATCCGTCGAGCCCGTCATCCCCGTTCGTGTCCTTCGTTCATTTTTTCTGAGTTTTTCCCGAGAACGGTACCTAGTCGAACTCCGTCTCGTTAAATCGTGTATATTTTTTGCGTTATGTGTTTAATTGACGTGTTGTGCTTACCTTGCGATTTAATGTACACGTTATGGTGTTATGTGAAAAATTGGATTTTAATGTGTTGTTTGTGTTTTGTGGACCTCCTCGATTTTGAGAAAATCGAGCGAGACCTTGAAACTCGTGTAAGGTTGTGGATTTTGGAACCATTTAGAGTCCTTGGCCTTATGGGAAGGCCTCGGACGAGAGTTACGTGTTATGAATCATGTGTGATTTTATCGAACTCGTATACTCGCTGTTTTAGTGTTAAAATTGTTAAACATTGTGTACTGCTCGGATTACCTTGAAATTTCGAGGGTCATGTCTTCTATTGAACATCTGGCTTGTGTAAAAATTTCGTAGTTTTTCAAGGCCTGTAGCTATTTTAAATAAATAAAGTGATATATAGTTAGTTTCATGTTAATTGCCTAATAAAATGTGTAGTGTTTAAAATTGGCTAAAATTTGAGTATGTTATGCCTCTATTTTGTTTGTATGCTAGGTAAAATTTTTAGAATTTTTGGACTAAGTTTGAGAGGGTAAATAATTTATTTCTGATTCTGCAGAAAGTTGTTTTATTTATGATAAATCGGTTAGTTGTTGAAAAATTCTGAAACTTGGTTGGAGTACTTGTTTTATGTCTATTTCCCTGCAGTTAAAAGATGAGAAGTTTTGGAGTTCAATTTTGTTCGGTTTTAATTGAAATTCAAAAACTGCTGAAACTTGTAAGAATTTTTAAAATTCGTTCAGTTAATGTCCAGGGCTAAAATTTTGATATGTTGTCACTCTCATGCTGTAGTTTGTGATGTTAAATTATCAGGTCCTGATTCGTTCATTAGGTTTAGATGTAAATTTATGTTCGGTTTTGCTGTTATCTTGTATGAATTTTATAAAATAATGTACTTTGAATTTGAGGCTGAAACTTGGTGGTTTTTTTAAGTACTGGGAGGTGTATTTTTTGTTAAAATTTGAGAGTTAAATTCATAGGGAAACCTGACCGACTAATTCCATGTGTTTATTGGTTATTATTTTCAAAATATGATTACTATGTTAAAACCTGTAAATTGGCTCTTCAACTGTTCTTGTGTGTTTTGACTTAGTCAATATTTGTTTTGGATTATGTGATCTCCCATGTGTATTTGGTTGAGTCTTAGTGTCGAGTCTCAGTGTTCCAACGTCCACAGGACTTCACGAACAACTTAGTCGAATAAAGTTCGGCTAAGAATAATTGTGATTTCCGTTCAAGTCAGAATAGATGTTGATTATGGCATCTGGACTTAATGTAGATGTTTGAGGAATCGAGCCCTCGACCTACCGACTTGTTTGTGGGCCTTCTCTACCGAATTACTAGGTGGGTTGTTATTCTAAAATTGGCTATGCTGTAAATGTTGTTAACTATAATTTGTGGTATGATCAATGTATGCATGTGAACCATGTAGCCTTCGATGTGAGCTGTACCGGCCGTCGAACGGTTATCCCCGTAGCTATAGAACGTACCCATAGGGTATTCTCCTTTTTGAGTCGTAAGACCAGGGTTAAAGGTCCCTAGGCTGGACATCCTCGTTTGTAAGACCAAGGTGAGGCCTTGGCCGGCGGGCGGTTACTCCTACTGGCTGGCACTCGTTGTAGGACCGGAGGGCATTCGATATATAGTCAGCAGTAGTCTATGCGCAGTTGTTCACATGAGTCTATTATTGATATGATTGATGGGAGATTGGGATAATTGATTGTTTCGTATAGTGGTGAGAACTACTTTTTCCAACTGTGCTCATCCCCCCCTGAAATTCACGTTCCAGGTTAAGCGAGGCAGGTACGACGGCGGAGTAGAGCGAGTGGTGGTCAGTCTATAAGACCGGTCTTATTATTTGTTATGCTTCCGCATTCATGAACTGGTTTTTATGATTATGAACTTGGAGTATTATTGCATTTAAGATTTTCGGATTTTTCGATTGAATAATGTTAAGGAGATGCTCCTTAGAATCTATGAATATTGTTGGAACCCTGTTTGGATGATTTATGATTTTTTGGATAACCCGTTTGGGAGTTAGTATTATTGATTGATGATTGAGTTTGATAATTGATTGAGTATTGAGAAATTGGTTTAGTAATGAAGTTCGCTTTAAAAATGAGTAGCGCCTCAGGTGTTTCGAAATAAATTTAAAAAAAATTTATTCTGATTTTCGGCAAATAAAAGTGGGGCGTTACATAACAAGAAATTGAAGAAACTCAATTTTCAGTTTGAAGAAAAAAAATAAGAAGTTGAAGAAACTCGATTTTGAGTTTGAAGAAGAAAACAAGAAACTAAAGGCAGAAATTCTGAAATTGAAGTATGAGAGTGGCAAAAAAAAAACAAGACTTCTAAGGATGTTAGTAGCATTATTGATAATTTGGAGTTTGGTGTTTTTCTTTTGTGGCTCTCAGACAGATGATGAAACCATTATGAATAACTGATATTAGGTTGCTGCATATTTGTTGACATTGTTGTATTTGGATGTAAGTTGATCTTGTAATGGCATAAAAATGTTAGTTTGTGCCATATTTGTGTCTCTCATTTACCTGTTAGTTGTTTAACCATTAGGAAAGTTTTAGCTGCAGCTTTGCCTGAAATACATGTTGCACAAAAATGTGCACACAAATTTCACACAACAATATACACAAACCCCTTATTATCCATAACAAAAACCATAAGACCATAACAAACCCCTTATCCATAACAAACTACACAGTGCATACCAAATCCAACAAATTATAATTCCTTACAAGACCATAACAAATTCATTAACAAATCCAACACAAAATGTATGAACATAAATTGCACACAAATTTCTTACAAGATCATAATAATTCCTTAGAACCCATATCAAAAACCATACCAAATCCATTACAAAATCCACAAAAACTACCAATCAAATCAGCCCATTATCAAGCAATACAAAAGATCTAAGCAAATCCAAACTTCAAAAGATCCCTTCAGAGAGAATATTATCCATAACAAACCAGTACAAAATCCCTAACAACCCATTATCAACCTAGTTCAACAGACACAAATTCACTTGTCATTGCCATGACCTTTTTGGTTAAGTACCAAGTACTTCTTCCCCTTATTAACTACAACCTTTTCATGAGCTAATGTAATGCTGCTTCCCACAGAAAAAACAGGTCTCTCTCCAGTAAATGTAGGAGGCCCTCTGATTTGAACTCCATTTGTGGCTCTTGTAAGCTGCATTGGGTTTCCCCTGACTAACTGCTCATACATGGATGGTCTAGGAGTTGATCTTTGCATTGTGGCCATCAAAGGTGTCTGGGACTATTGTGTAGGAATTTCTTCCATCACCATACTTTCATCTTCATGATTTGACAGTGGTGGAAACAAAGTTGGGTTCAAAGTACTTGCAAGATTTCTAAGGGATGGACCACTGTTTCTTTTTGCCTGAAATTAAAACACACATCACAATAACTTAGTAATTTCACCCACAGTTAAATGATTATAAAACATACTGTAGCAGTATATATATTTAAAATACACAGTAGCAGTTAAATGATTATAAAACACACAGTAGCAGTTAATTGCACCCACAGTTAACTGAAATTAAAACACACATATATATATATTTAAATTAGTTACCTGCATCTACTGTACTGGTGGAGGTTGGTTAGTGGTAGATGAACATGTGGCTACATTATGGCCTTCTCCACCGCATCTGCTACAGTTCACCTTTGTCTGTTGCCTCTTCACTTTTGTAGGAGCTAAAGTTCCTTTTTCTTCTTATTTTTCCCAACTATCTAATCACTCTCCCTTCTCCTTGCCTTAGAAGGTCTCCCTGCACCTCTTCCAAAATTTGGTGGCAGTGGTGGTATGAAATTGTTACCCTCCCAAAGTTCAATGCCATTAATTTTAATGGGATACAAAGTGTTCCCATAAGCAGCCATATATTTAGACACTGTGTAGCATTCATCTACATAGTCCTCAACATTACCTCTCTGAAAATGGATGGCACTCAAAGCATGGCTGCATGGAATTCCAGACAATCCCCAAGACCTACATGAACAAACTCCATCCCTTAAGTTGATAGAGTATTGTGCAATATTGTTACACTTTATCTCAAAGTGTATGTCATCAGCCTTCACTGGTATGCAATCAGCCACTCCCTTATTGTGTAGCTCAAGAAGCTCTATTATTCTTGGACACAATTTATTCTTCCACTTTCTTACAGCCCTATCTCTATTCTCTTGCATTCTCTTCATTAGGTATTCTCTAATCCACTCTCGCATTGTGATAATAGGTTCCTCTATGGCCTCCAAAATACAAGAGTTAAAGGTCTCACAACAGTTATTCAATAACATATCACATTTGGGAACATCCTTGAAATGTGATTTGGACCACTGCTCTGGTGGTTTATCAGAGAGCCATTTCCATGCTTCTGGGTTCATCTCCTTAAGCTCTACAATTCTATTTGTGAATCCTGACTTGGTTGTGGACATTGCAGCAGCCCATAAGGCATTTATGAATGCCAAACCCCTAAAACCGACTGTTTTGAAGTTATTGCAAAGATGCCTGACACAAAATCTGTGATCAGACTGAGGGAATATTTGAGCTGCAGCTTGAATGATCCCCTTCTGTTTGTCAGACATTAGGGTGAAACCACTGGTGTCAGTCATGGCTAAGTCATTCTTCATAATAGTCAAGAACCATGACCATGTCTCTGTGCACTCACTACTGACCACAGCATAAGAAAATGGGAACCACTTATTATTGGGATCAACACCCACTGCAACCAACAATATACCTCTGTGTGGGCCCTTCAAATGACATCCATCAATCCCCATTATTGGTCTGCACTCATCTCTATACCCTTTCTTCATTGCAGCAAAACAAATGTACAACCTGTTGAACCTAGAATTTCCATTTTCATCAGCCTCAGTACCTAAAATGATAGTAGACCCAGGGTTTGATCTTCTAAGTTCCTCGAAATAGTCCTACTACTTAGAATATTGCCCTTCTGCAGACCCTTGCAGAATTTTGAGTGCTCTTCTTTTAGTTCATATGCTTGATCCTTAGAAACGTGACACCTTAGCTCTTCAATGGTGCTTGTCCTGAAACCCTTCACACTTTTCTTGGGGTCTACCTTAAAGTCCTTCAAGTATCTGTCACACAACCAAAAGGACTTCACATTTTTCACTTGCAAAGTAGATGAACCAAAATAACTTGCATATATAAGTGTAAAGAAAAAATTAACTACCAATATTTGTTTTATAATCATTTAACTGAATGTTAAGATGAGTTCACATATCTGACCTGAAAGGTAGATGGACAAGAATGTTCAGAAATGAATTCCTTGATGAACCAAGTTTCTTCATTCTTCTTCTTTATTAGATGCACTTTCCATGGGCAGTCTATTGCAACACAGGTAACATACAACCTTGTATAATCACTTCTACATATCTTCACACCTCTGTGACTCTCAATGGCATAACTTTGGACAGCTTTCTTAAATTCTTTTTTGCTACTAAATAGCATCCCAAGCTCAAACACAGGATTGAAGATAGTGGCAGGATTGAATATAGGCATGTGTTCTCCCTCCTCATAATTAACAATATGATCCTCTATGTCATCCCCATTATGGACCACATCTTTTTCACTGTGACCACTTTCTTCTCCTGAACCCTAAATTAAACTCTGAATTGAACCCCGATTTGAACTTTGCACACTATGATCAACAAAATTCTGATATAGATCATCATCATCATCACTGTGGTCATCTTCCATATTGTACTCAGAATCTATAGAGTCTTCATCAAAGTAGTTTTCAACAGGGGCTACATTAGAGTGATTTTCAATATGGTCATTGTCACACTCTTGTGCAACCACATTTTCAGTTGATTGCACCCCAGAATAATCATCAATAAGCTTAAACAATTCATCACCATTGTCCAATCTTATTAACGGGATGCTTCTGACAACTGATTTGTTGTGTCCATACTGTCATCAACATTATTCTCAAACTGCTCATCATCATCACTTTGCTCAGTTTCCACATTGTAATCAGAATCAAGAGAGCCTTCACTAGGGCTCTTTTGAACAGAGGCTTCATTACAGTCTTTTTCAACAGATGCTTCTCCACCATCCTTTTCAGCAAATGCTTCTGACAGTTTATCTGTTGTGTCCACACTAAGATCAACATTGTTCTCAAACAGCTGATCATCATCACTACTTTGCTCAGTTTCCACATTGTAATCAAAATCAGGAGAGTCTTGACTAGATTTGTTTTGAAGAGAGTGTTCATTACAGTCTTTACCAACAATTGATTCATCAATTGGTATCACATCCACATAAATTTCTATCTCCTTAAGAGGTAGATGCTTAATAAACCAGACCCTAGCATCCTCATCAGTGAAAACTCCATGAAAGCTATTGCCACACAATACATAATGTTTCCTCATTTTTCCCTTTCCAACATCCTCATCAGTTAAACTATAAAGAGTTTCTATGTTCATACCTTTACTATGAACATAGTCAAAGATAATTGAATCAGCCCCCTTATAGTAAGCAATAGGTTCATTAAAAAATTGACCTCCATAGTACACAACTACACTGAGTTGACCACTCTCACGAGCTGTGATAAATAAAAAATTAAAATTTCATCAGCAAAAATTAACAATTTTTCATATGAATAAAATACATGTCTTATGTCCCCACATGTCTGTATAAAGCCAAACATAAAACCAATGCAGGACCACCACTTTAATTCTAACATTTTATGTATACTCTCTTGATAATAGTGTATTATTGTCACAAGAAAAAAAAAGAAAAACGAAATTTACAAAGAACACACAATCTGGTGCGAAACAATAGAGGAAAATTAAGGAATCTTACTGTACGCAGGAGGAGAAGAGTTTGGATTGCTATTGCTTCGCAAGTATATTGAGGATGTCATCAAATCGACGTCTTAATTTCTAGGGTTCTTGATCGATTTGCAGCATGAAGCATTAGGGTTTTTCTGGTTGATGTTTGGGGATTTTCTTTTTTGTTCGAATTTTTGCCGATATTTCTGTGAAAAATAAAGGAGAAAACGCGTGGATGGTGTATTTATAGACGGTATAGCTGAGGTGGATTAATTCGTCCTTGTGCAGTCCACGCTAGCATGTTTTGTAATCTCAGGCGGAGTTCCGATGAGTTTAGCCGGATTTGGGTAGAAAGATCGATTTTTTAAAATGTTTTGGCTATTATTGCCAAAATAGAAAGATAGTGGGTACAAATGTCAACCTGTCTAAGTTACTGGCTAGTTTTTACAATTTAGCCTTTAAGCGTAATTTTTCCAGATTAAAAAGGGAAAACAATTTATACATAACAAAAATATGCATGATTGCTTTCTTACCAACGTCAATAATTTCTAACTATTTTGTACATATTTAATTAACTTGTCTAATTCGAATCACAATCTATTACTATATAATAGAGATAATAAAAAAAGTACAAAAATAGTATGTAAGTTTCCCGCTAATTTTTTCCTTTTTTACCAATAAAGAATTTTTTTTTTGCAATTTTTAGGAGAATCCCGCCCATGATTTTTATTCATTTTTTTTGTATTTATTTGAAAAAAAATAATTTAAAACATTTAAAGGAAAGATTGCAAGCAGATTTTTTGGGTACATTCCATTTTATCTTAACTTTCATTCATATAAACACATTTCTAACAACTAATTAATATAATATTCTTTTTTCAAGTTATCTAATAGGGTATTTTAAGATATAATTATCTAATCGGGTATTTTAAGATATAATTATTATAATATTTTATTTAATTAATTATACGATTGTTGTTATAGATATAATTACTAAAATATTAATATTTTATAAAAATTTTAAAAATAAATTTGAATTATCGTACTTTTTACTTTATATGAAACTCAGAATTACATTTTTTAATATATTAATAAACATTAATTATTTATTTTTTCCTTATATGATATAATCTAATTTCATTATTAAAATTTTAAATTCAAACATTTAAAGAAAAAGATCCTAAACAGATTTTTTTTGGTAAATTTCATTTTATCTTGGTTTACATATAATCATATTTCTAACAAACTAACTAATATTATATTTATTATCTACATTATCTAACCCATTTTTTTATATAATTAATATAATATCTTAACTAATTCATCATTTATCTAACCGGATTTATCTCTCTAACAAACTTGCCAATTTTTTTGAAATTAAAATGGTATAATTATTTTTACGGAAATACTTACCATTATATTAAACATTTAGAAACTTTTTTAAAGAAAAAAATAAGTTATCTCTCCTTTTATTTTTATTTGAAATTCTAAGTTATATTTTTAAATATGTTATTATTTATTTATTTTTACGTGTCAATATTTATTATTTGTTATCTAAGTTATAAATATTATTGATTTATCACTAAA